AAAAGTAAAGTCAAGTCCCAAGGTCAAGTGAATCATTGAATGAATAAATCTTATTTTTAAAACCAACATAAGCATATACATGTTTAGGTTCAAAAGTAAAATAAGCCCAGTGTTAAAATCATTTTGTCAACATGATAGCTTCCAAATATGGGTACCTGCTACAAAGTTACAAGCTAGTTTAACCCACTTTTTTCTATTTTTATGCTCATGTAATTTCACTTTATATAGAAACAATTATGTGCCCACACATGTATTTAGTTAAAAGATCAGAGCAAAGGCATATTATGCAAGATAAGGGTAATTTTTTATATCTAAAATTTTTCTATTCCAAAAGATTTTCAAGTTTCTGTCTATCTATTTTCTCATTGAATATCTTACTCTGTATATTGTGGTGTTTTTGCACTTGCCAGAAGATATTATTAATATGAAAATACTAATATAGAATCTGTTACTAAACACTAGAAAGTATATATTTTAAAAAGCATTTAAACTAGAATTCCTTTAATTCACAATTTTTTACTGTTTTATGTATTTCAATGCCTACTTAATAAACTTTAAAAACAGAGGCAAAAAAAATTAGTTGCTTACAGTGCCTGACATATCCATTGTAATGGAGTAATACTTTCTCCTTTTTTCCACAAGAGAAACAACAAATAAAACAACAAAAGACAGCCTTTCAAAATAAAAAGAGCTCTACACAGTAGGTCAGAAATCATAGGTTTTAGTCACAGCTAGATAAACTAGTAGAATAATAGAACTAGTAGAACTACCCTTTCTGGGCTGTTTTTTCTTCACTGATAAACTATAGGAAGGTTGAGTAGATGAACTTGAGGTCTCCTCAATGTTAAATTTCAGTGGTTCTAAGGTTAATACCATACATAGCAGTTACTTTAGCATGTAGGTTACTCTTCATTATCTGCATGTCCATTATGCACTTTCTGAATATTTTCCTGTTGATTTCTCTTCAGTGATATATTTTCAAAAAATGTAAGATAATTTAAAAATTATTTTAAGTCATTAGTAACTTGATAGACACTAATCTAAATAGGAATACCATACATTTTAA